GCTCCGCAATGGGAGAGGCCACAGCAGTGAGAGGCCCGCGTACCGAAAAAAAAAAAAAAAAAAATTTTAAATGAGAAACTTCATGCCATGATTTTTTTTTTCTTTTGCAGGACAACCAGTTTGTCACTTTGTTCAAATGTAAATGTTCTCTTTTGCTTTTGAAATAAACTTCCTTTCATAATTTTGAAAAAATATAAAAACAAAACTTGTAAACATGAATGCTTTTACAAGATATTTTCAAATATTTATTCTCATAACAATCTGAGAGGTAAAAAGCAGGCAGGGGGAGTAATTCCTGCCATTTTCCACAGACAGAAAAAGATGCTGAGGTGCCTGGAGGTCCCCAGCCTAGTGTAAGGGGCTGGACTCAGCCATCAGTGCTCACACTGTGCTCCTGGGCCTCTCTCCACAGCCAATCACGGACTGCACGGCTGCTCTGAAAGGCAAGGTGGCACAGACGTGCCCAAGAGGGGGTAGGCGAAGCTGCCCAGGTGCTGGCACTGAAGGCTGGTACACCAGTGGGAAACTGGCATCCCATCAACAAAGGACTCGGTGGCTTCAGCACGTGAGGCACTCACGCTAGTCTCTGCAAATGAACCCCAGAGGGGCCGCGAGAGTCATGCTGGTTTTCTCTCCCTACCCATCCTCCTTCAGCCTCACTCTCCTTCTTTGGCTTTGGAGCCCTCAGAAGCTTCCTCTCAACACCCTGCCTGGTCCTGCCCATTTCCTTGTGTCCCTTCCATCCCACCAAAATTCAAGCCAGGGCATCCAAAATGCTCCCCAAGGGGCACCGCGTTAATGCAGAATCCTGTCTCATAGCCTGGCCCAGAGAGGCCGAAGGATCAGCAATCACATCCCTGTGAGGACCCACCGCAGCTCCACAGGCAGGTACCACCACCGGAGCAGGGCCGCCCAAAAGAAACATTCCCGTCTCCTTCCTAAGTACCACCCCCTGCACCCCTTCCATCACTGCCTGGGCCCCAGCACCAGGGGTGACTCTACCTCTCCCACAGACGGGGACATACATGCTCCGGAAGTATTTATGTGCTCATGGACGACTGGGCAAGTCAGCCTGATGCCAAAGCAGCCCTTAGCCGTCTTCTCCTTCCCAGTGTTGATCTGGGAAGGTCAGAGTCACCGTTTGGCCCCGACTGCTTTCCTCCCTCACCAAAAGCACGTCTTGAATGATGATCAACATATGCACACAGCAAATGCACCGGGGACCGTTCGTTTTAGTTCTGAAAGGCAAAGAGACTCCAGGTTTAAAGTTTCAAGAAAGAATGTGTGGCCAGCGAGTCACCCACAGGGCCACCGCCTTAGACAGAAGAGGCCATGCTGGACCAGGAAAGACCCTCCATTGCTCCCTCCATCACCAGAAGTTTGGGCCTTTCTGCAAACCATGCCGTAACTCAGGGTTTCAGTAACTCATGGTTTCAGTCCTTCTCGCTCTCCGTCACTGTGGCTTTTAAGAGATCATCTGACTTCTCCCCCATCAATCAGCTATGCTGGAGGCTTTGTGCCAAGTTTTCATAGCTCCGTAGCAGTTAAATTGGGATTAAAATCATTTAGATGCCCTTTTGCCCAGGTAGCAACAATGAAGGGAAATGAAATAAACTGAAAGGCAGACAGCAGAAAGAGTCTCTCTGCAGGTCTGACCCTTGGGACCATCAGCCTCACGGGTGCCCTGCCTCTGAGCCCTGGAGCTTAAACAAAGCTGCTGCCTTCCTTCCTCCCCCTCTCCCTCCTCCCCGCTTTCTCCCTCTATCCATCCCTCTTTCTTTCTCTCCTTCTCTCTCCCCGTCTCTTTCTTTCAAGAAAGACTCCAGAATTCCAGGACACTGGCATCCAGCTCTCTGAAGCCTGGACAGGGGACGGGGGTGGGGGGTGGGGGGCGGTCCCCACAAGCTCTTCCTTAGACTCCCCTCCCCGCTTTACTCTGGGGGAGCTTCTGGGAAACCAGTGCCGTGGCCCAGGGTCCCCTCCAGCCACCACCAGCCTCATTTCCTGTGCACAAGAGGCCTCTGCTGGAAGAAGCAGAACTTTGCACCATCACCGAACAGCTGGCATGCCTCTTGTTACTCAAATTTTTGCGTCAGTAAAATTGGAAGGAGGCTCACCAAAAGAAAGAAATTTAGAAATTCTTCGGCTTACTGCCTGAAAATTTCTCCTCCAACTCAGGTCACAGAAGACTGACGATTATTTTCCTTTGGTAGAGAAAACTTAAATCATTCTGTTTCTTTTGGCAAGGAAAATGTAAGACCCCTAGGCCTGATCATCCCAGCCACAGCCAACTGTATTCTTTGAGGAATAATCACCGTAAGCCAGCGTTTACAGCTCACTTACCCATCCTAGGCATTGTACGTCCTTTATTTTACGTAATCCTCACAATTCTATGAGATGGTAATTCCTATAACCTCATCTTAAAGATAAGGAAACTGAGGCTTAGAAGTTAAGTGATTTGTCCAAGTTCAGTACGTGTTAGAGCCAAACTTGCATACTGGAGGTTTATTATCAGACCAAGAGCCTGTACTGCCCTCTCCAAGGTCTGGCTATGTCTCACCTGCAAGCCCTGCCTTTATCCACAAGAATACTTTTGATTACAAAATCAGAACACCTGACTATGAGTGGATTAAACAAATAGAGGCTTTCTTTTAAAAATATCATTGTGGAGGCTTCCCTGGTGGTGCAGTGGTTGAGTCCGCCTGCCGATGCAGGGGACACGGGTTCGTGCCCCGGTCCGGGAGGATCCCACATGCCGCAGAGCGGCTGGGCCCGTGAGCCATGGCCGCTGAGCCTGCGCGTCCGGAGCCTGTGCTCCGCAACGGGAGAGACCACAACAGTGAGAGGCCCGTGTACCGCAAAAACAAAACAAAACAAAAAAAAAATCATTGTAAGAAGATCGGAGATAGATCTAGATTTTACATGGACTCTTGCCTTTTAAAAATGTTAATAAGTAATACAACTTTTAAAAGCACTGCGTGGGCCTACAAAGTCATCTGCTGGCCAAATATGACTTGTGTATGACCTGAACCACACTTTCTGCAATCGTACTGTCAACATGACCAGGCAGGGGGCTTCCCTGGTCCTGCCAGTGCAGGGGACGCATGTTCAAGCCCTGGTCCGGGAAGATCCCACATGCCGCGGAGCAACTAAGCCCGTGCGCCACAACTACTGAGCCTGTGCTCTAGAGTCTGCAAGCCCCACTCCTGAGCCCACGTGCCACAACTACTGAAGCCCACATGCCTAGAGCCCATGCCCCACAACAAGAGAAGCCACCACAGTGAGAAGCACGTGCTCAGGATTGAAGAGTAGCCCCTGCTCGCCACAACTAGAGAAAGCCCGCATGCAGCAATGAAGACCCAATGCAGCCAAAAATAAAATAAATACATTAAAAAAAAAAATGACCAGGCAGAGTGATGAGCTGACAGCTCTGAGACAGAATCAAGGTCCTTACCTCTCCCCTTCCAGGAGCCACTGCTGCCCCCTCACTCCTATGGGTTCCCCTGGATGATGCTGTTTCCAACCCTCATCCAATGCCCTGAGCAAGTGCCAGTTCTGCCCACCTCCCTAGGCTTTCCTTGATGACGTAACACAGAGGTAATGATAATGATAATAACATTTATTGAATAAGTATTGTATGCTATCAATATCTATGCATCAACCCATTTAGTCCTCACAGTTAACATATGAGGTATGATTATTATTATCCCACGTGTACAGAAAGACCCAGTAACTTATATGCAATGTCAAACAGCCTACTAATGGTAGATCTGGAACTCAAACATATGTATTTCAAAACATATGTGATTTCAAAGCCCATAACTTTAACTGTTGTAGGATGCTTTTGGTTATAAACTCAGAATACCTG